AAAAACTGCGAAATCAATTTTTGTATTTAAGCATCCAACGCAATTAAGGGATGAAACGCAGACTGCATCGTAAAATGTCCTCTCACACATGACACCTAAATCCATTCCTTTTATTTTACAATTTCATAATTTACTCAAACATGACAACCACTACTTGTTATTTATTTTACCGCAGTAGTTCGCTTTTAAATCAGTTGTCGTTCAAGCGTGTGTTTGATACAATTAGGGTTGTCCCACCTAACAGCTGTAAATGAGTGCTTCCCGTTCTTCAGATGCAAATTGCTACATTTATCACATTCATTTCATTGGCTCTGTGAACAACTCAGCTCAGCTACTAACATACCACCCGCGCGTTGTATTTAACACCTACCTAATTCTAGATCGCCAATTTTCTTTTCTTATTGCAGGTCTTCGAATCGACCTTACGAACAGATTACTTTCGGATTGATCTTGGAACCAAGAGAGTACTCCAAAAGCCTACCGGAAAACTGCACAGTACATGCCGTTGATTTATTCCAGGGGCGAGAAGCTAACACCATCATTCTCGTAACAATGAGAACGACGCTCCTCTCCCCCACCCCCCTGGTTTCCCGGCAAGCAGGACTGGAATTTCTTCATAATGATGAACGGATCACCGTAGCCTTGTCGCGGGCACGACGCGGCACGTTCATCATTGCGCATTTACCGCTGTTGCTGAGAAATGACCTATGAAGACGATATCTGCACGTTGCCATACAAACTACTCCAGTCGTGCTCCCACAGTACGTGGATGCTATGATTGGGGATTAACGAAGGGATTCCGAAGGAATATTATTAGCGAGGGATGGATCCTCGATGGTCACGCCTCTGCAGATCAGCTGTTACTGGCTGTAAGTGAAAGGGTTCTATTTCTTTCTTTTTGTATTATTTCTTCCCCTTTTCTTTCTTACTGTACTTATAAATAAAGCATTTCTTCCCCCAAAATGGGAGACGAAAGGCGTGAATGCATCGCCCACCTGGGCCCGTGTACTCCAAGATTTCCTGGGTTATGACCAGGGTCGGTCATCCCCCAAATGGGAGATGCAAAGGCGAATTGCTCGCCTTGCTCCCCTACCCCCATCTCAAATGATGAAACTACAAAAAAAAATAAAGAAAATGATGTGTCATCTCTCGATGACTTTCCACCGGGACATCGGGAATCGACGTTCCCAGCGAAGATTGGTTCTCCGACAGGAGTTCGATTCCCTCGTTCCCAGACTGCCGATCCTCCTTCCGCCTTTCCCACCGTAGATGAGATCTACGATGGTCAAATCCCGTCTTTCATTCCCACGCGGAACATTCTCGATCCCCATTGTCGGAGATTGTGATTCATGATACTACTTGTAGGCAGGGCGGTACATAAGCTCGAGAATCCGATGTCAGTGGTCCGCGTTCACCTGCTTACGACAGTGCCGCCTGACACACATGGTCTGTGCTCTACTTCGTTTCTTCCGTGGCCTACTTCGTTTCGCCTGTGATCTACTTAACCCTACGCTCGTGCGCCTGTAACTGGAATCTTCTGTAATAAAATTTGTCCAACTTTAGTCTGGCCCGACACCTTCCACGCGTGACTCGATCTACTGATGTCTGCACCTAGACTCAGATAACACCACTTTTTCTGGAAAAGTTTACGGCCCCGTGCATGTTTGCTACGCATACCCGAGAGTTGGGTTTGAGCCGGATGGAACTTAGGTCGGCAGGATACATCCTCTTAAAATTACGGTTCTTCGGCTTCACAGGTACTCGGATTATCAACTTACGCGAAAGGATTTCGGCGGGCCCGTACGCGGGTATCATGCTTACCCGGTCGTTGGTTTTGAGTTCCTACTTGGACGGGGAACACCCCCCTTAAAATTTCAGCATTCCAGCTTTTCTGGTTCGCGAGTTACCAACTTACCCCGGAAAAATCTTAACGGCGTTGTACGCGGGTATCACGCGGGCAAGACCTTCCATTTCGGGAATGGAGCCCGCACGTGCA